TTAAATTTAAGACATGTTTGAATTCCATAACCACTGAGGGCAAAATAATATTTATCCAGTTATTAATATAAAATGAATGAAATATATTTCTTAATATAAAATGAATGAGCAGTTCATAACCACCTAAGTGGGACCAAGGCTTATGATTTGCTCATTTTTGATGACAAGAAAAGAGGGATATGAAAAATATTTACGTAAAATCTTCAAATCCATTTATTTTCTATTTTTTTGAAAAGCAGAAGGAATTATAACAAATAAATTTTGAAAATTTTAATTTGAGAGTAAAAGTTGGAAGAAATTCTTAACACTAGATTGCTCAAGGAAGTCCTTTTGACTGCTTATTAATTTCAATTAGAAAAACAATGGTTTATATAATGACACAATTTCTTAGAATTTAGTAACTTTTATAATTATTTTTATAATTGATGTTTACGAATAACTTGTTATATAACTGAAAATAATATCAAAAATATTAAAAATTAATTTAAAATTATTTTTTATACATTAGTTATTCTTTCACAATGCAGTCATTTTGACTGCTTTTGGGCAATATAGATATTTTAGTCTTTCTAGTACTTTCGAATATCTATATTGCTAACGTACATTGTTCTTTATGCAAAGTTTCCATTTATTATTAGTATAAAATATTTATTATTTGTATAATTATTTATTATTAGTAAAGAGGGATTTGTAAATATTTATTTATTATTAGTACATAGTATTTATTGTTATTAAAAAATAGGAAGCAAACATATGAATTTTTTCAGAAAAAAAATAAAATGGCAGTTGTTGCGATTTTATAGTTAATAGATAAGGGAGGGTTTTATAGTTTGTTTATATTTGGTAAACAAAGGGTAAGAACTCCGAAATGGCTAAAACCATGTTTACAAAAACCCGTTAGAACTTCCATTAGGACACAAAAATATCCATTCGAAAGTAAACTTAATATTTTGTATTAATTTTTAAGTCCTCTCCCCCTAAAATCACAATACAATTGATGATATTATCTCCATCCTGATAGCTTGCTATTATCGATAAGCAGTTTCTTTCACGTTCTATTCATTCAAAAAACACAGAGTAATAACCCTGTATACTTAAAAGTACACTGTACTTCATTATAAAAATGTATAAATACAGTACACATATTAAAAACAAATATCACAAACAGTTTAAATAACCTTTACCAGTGAGTTGTAAAAATATTTTGTTGTTAAATACTTTCTTTTTTAAGTTGCTACGGAACAGTTTTTTTTTAATGCAAGAGATTTTTTTTAAGAAAACACTTTGCAGGAATAAAACAATATTTGTATTTAATTGTTTAATTTACAAATGTAGGAGAAAACTTATTTTTCATAGAAGCATAGTTTAAATAGATTTAAACATAGTTTAAAATAAATACATGGTATTTGATAAATAGAGTATACAAGGGGAATAACAGCTTTAAATGCCGATTTCAAAAAAATAATTAATACTGTACAGATAATATAATAGTATTAATCAATAATTTGTTATTTTGATTTCAGATAATTATGATTACTATTGTAATCATTGCAGATGATTATTGTCATTCATTACCATGAATGACAATACTCAAAACCATGGTTACTAGTAATCACAATTACAACCCATTGATTACTTCAGTACTAGCAACCAAAGAAATATTTTCATGTAATACATATTTTCTTAGCTGTTGATGGTGAAATAAATATTTTTCACGTTATTACATGGGATGTTAAAAGTAAAATGCGATCTCAAAAAAAAAAAAAAAGCTCAAAAATATGTTTAGTACTTCTCAAAAAATAAAAATTTAATGAAAATTTAGAAAAAAATGGTAGTTAAAATAAATATTTCTAAATCGTTATAACTCGAAATTATACAAACAGCTTAATTCAAGTTTCAGATTTTATTTGCAAAACATTAATATTAGCACAATTTAAAAATTTCTTTATTTATAAACTTTTTTCCTTTCATAACGAAAATCTTATAACGTCACTTAGTTGATACATTTTGGATGCACATTGTAGCTGCTACGACTAGCAAGTCATATTTAAAAACAATTGATTTGGGGTTTAAACCTAACGACGTTGTTAATGAAAATCTTTTATTAACCTCTTAAAGTGTATATCTCCATGTATGACACACTCTGTATAAAACGCCATATAACTATTTTTTTACCATATTCTTCAACAAACTCAAGAAACATGACCATCAACCAATATAATCTACTGCTCTAAATTTCATATTTTTACATTCTGCATAGTAAATGTTTGTCAACACGTGATCGTACAGACAGCATCATATTAGCAACATTGAAATCATAAAAAGATTTTGATTCTTATATGCATTCAAAATCAATTCAAAATTTTAATTGCAATAATGGATTTTGAGCATCAATGACAAATAATAAATAAGAATTTAATAGATTCACAATTTCCAATTGCAAAAATGAGAATTATATTCATGTTTTTAAAAAAACAATCCTATCTAAACAATTAATTAATTTAATTCCTTATTCCATTCTAAACGGAATGGAATTCACGAATGGAATAAATATAATTCCATTTGTAAAAATGAGAAGTATATTCATCTTTTTAAAAAAACAATCCTATCAATTAATTAAATTTTAATTCCCCATTCCATTCTAAAAGGAATGGAATGGAATTCACAAATGGAATATAATTTCATTTGTAAAAATGAGAACTATAGTCATCTTTTTAAAAACAATCATATCAATTAATTACATTTTAATTCCTCATTCCATTCTAAATGAAATGGAATGGAATTCACGAATGGAATTCACGAATTTCATTTGTAAAAATGAGAATTATAGTCATCTTTTTTAAACAATCATATAATTTAATTACATTTTAATTCCTCTTTCCATTCTAAATTAAATGAAATGGAATTCACAAATGGAGTATAATTTCAATGGTAAAAATGAGAATTATAGTCATCTTTTTAAAAACAATCCAATCAGTTAATTACCTTTCGATTCCTCAATCAATTCACAATCACACATTTCAGATATAATAACAAATTTTAAACTTCGATGAGATATGATACTTAATAGATTAAAATTAAATATATTCACAAACATCCTGTGGGAAATTGAGAATTATATTCTTGCATTTATAACCCATCTTTTCATATTTAAAAATATTATATATGTAGCTAATTTATATCTTCTAATCGGATAAAAATAGATAGAATCATTAAAAAATATTTTTTAGATATGTGAATATTAGGAAAAAATTATATTTAATCCATGCAGTGATTCATTCTTTAAAAAAGATATTTTGAAATATTCTTGTATATTTTATGTACAAATAGTATTATCACTTATACTTGAATTTTAAGTCGTTGTATTAGCAGTTTAGCACGATATTTCTTTCAAAAATTATATATTTTACTAAGTTACAATGTAGCCTGCATCGATTAAATGCAAATGGGTAAATGTAACTCTAAGTCATGTTTTTGTTACTATAAAGAATATTTCTTTTTATAAATTTATCAGCTTTTTCAGTATAAATCATAACGATATAAAAATCAAAATATTCTTTTTTTTTTAAGTTTACCAAAACTCCTTATGATTTTTGATTTGATGAATTTGGTACAATATGATATGATTTCGTACCAAATTTACGAAATGATTTGATTTTCAAAATGCGTTTGATATGATATTCAATCTATGTAACCACGATTAAGTCGATAAGTGCTAATATTTACTAGAGTACGCAAACGGACATGTGTTTTCTGATGTATTTGAATATTAGATTAAACACTTAATTTTAAATAAGTATGAAATAGGAGAGATGTGGCTTTTAAATAACAAAACAAATTTCACTGATAAATAAATTTTTAGAAAGTGGTGGATTCAATGAAATCTCCAAGACAATCGCTGATTCAAACTATGCAAAATTGTGGTGTTTTCCCTTCGTTATGTCTTAGATACATTCCCTCAATACCATTTATATTTCACAAGAATTACTTAATATTTAAATGAAGTACCCATGAACATAGCATTAGCTAGGAAAATAGTGAGGATATCTAGCATGACATAAGTACTGTATAGTTCAAGATATAATATCTAAAATCCACACACATTGAAACTACATCCTTAATCAAAGGTGTTTAATTAACATTGGTCCTTGTACATCTATACAGTAACAATGAGTGCAATGCACTGCATGAGTCTTGCATGAAATCATTAAGAAATTTCCAGTGGACCGGAATTCTGCAACAAAACAACTTAGTTGAGAGGAAAGCCTTACTAAATATGTCAACCTTGGCATAATACAAAATCATTATCTTCTTCGAAGCAAGAGATACTAAGCATATTATGTTTCATTTGTTGTTATGTCCCAAAATTATGCTAGTGTGAAAAGGAACGAGACATGCTTTTGATGACGCCATTACTTTGAAGAAAAAAACCACATAGCTCAGAAAAGGAGACACAGGGTCTATTTAAAGTCTATCTAAAGTCTTTCTGCAAAAAAACCTTTCACGAAGTGTTGTGAAGACATGAGAGTGCTTTCTTTGGAAGAAATTTCCCAGAAAGCAAGTAACCTTACAGCAATCTTGAGTCGGAATTTTTCTTTTGTTGTCACGAAAATGGTTGTATTAAAAACCTTTTTTCAATGAAGCAAAAGTATTGCAGTTTCAAACCTTTCATCCAAAAAGGATTAAAAATTATTTTTTAACTCTTTTTTGAAAAGTATTGCCACTTAGGTAAAATGGTCACTTAGGTGCATAATGACAATTTTGCTGACGTCACACTAGCGATAGGATCAAATTGCATCGTCCATTAAAATTTCATGACAAGGTGGATTTTAGCTGAGCATACATGTTTATACGAAAATAAACCTTATAATTACCTATATTTAAGATTATTTTCACCTTAAGACTAGCTTCATTAAAGGATTTTTTAATAATTGAAAACCCTAAGTCAACCTTGATTTAAGGTTTTTATATAGAAGGTTATTTTCCAAGGTTTTGGATGAGGGTAATGTGTGTTGAATAGAGCAGATTGTCTCAGATCTCGTTTTAAGGTTAGAATGTTTACACATAAACCGCATAACAAGCCTTTTTAGGTTTACATTAAAAGGTTTTTGCTGAGTTAAAATAAACCTTACTTTGCTATCTGGGTTGTTGGTAATTTTTTCAAAAAATTCATTTTATCTAAAAGCCACATTTCTCAGTACAACCTACTCTTTTTGAATTAAAGACATTTACAGCACTTGTTTTTTTCCAGAATATAAATTATTTTTATATCGTTAATAAAAACAAAGCGACACAGTATGAGCATCTTAATGAAAAACACATTGTGAATAAAAATTTACTCAGTATAATTAAAACAAATGCTAGAAACGTTCTTCATTTTAGGGTTATTTTTAAACAGAAAGGGGTGAAATACAGCAGTAAAGAATGTATCAAATACACTTTAAGTCTGAGAAATATTAATTTCAAATTTCTTTCTTAAGTACTAGGAGCATTCGTAGTATATACAAGAACTAAATATTCCTTTCATAGATATTAATAGTTAAAAACTCTAATAGATATTTTCCTTTATATAGATTTCACCCAGTCTTCATAAAAAAATAACATATCTTCAAAAATAGGATATACAGAAATGGCTCATTTTTAAATATCAATTAATGCAATATTTACGCACATTTAACAGTTTTGCTGACATAAAACAGTAATAGTGATTATGCATATGTATGATACAAAAACACTTATACAACATGATACACAAAATAAAGCTCTTGATATGTTCGTGATGTGTTTCTTAAAAGTTCGGATTCCCTTCAAACTTGAAATACATTTGCAGAGAGGGTTTAAAGATATGATACATCAACGGAAATGTTCCAATAAACTGGATCTGGTTCATTGACGGAAATTTTCCAATACTCTGAATCTGATACATCAGTGGTAATCTTATGCATCAATAAATTGTTTCAGTTCTTCAGCTATTTAGATTGTTATTCCTTGTCATGGATTGGTGTATCAATTTCATTATTAGTAGTATTAAATGGTTTGAGTCGATGAATTCTGATCCTCAGAACTTCTGAAGTATATCCATTTACCTAAAAGAAATTGTAATCAGCTTATAGATAGATTTTTGTTCATATAAAATCGAAGCTATTAAGCATTAAAGTACTATATTTTTATCATATGGTTTTATTTTATAACCGTCGTTGTACAGCAGACCCACATTTCTGGGTTGACGACTACTAATGCTCGGTAAAACTCCGTAGCTTTTTGAACCCAATTCAGGAGACAAGGGAACTCCTGGATCAAATAGTGGGAAAAATTTTCCTTCGAGGAGAACTTTTTGATGGAACTAACCCGCATTTGCATTACATGGAGAGGAAAACCTCCCACGGTTAGCCTGATGGCAAAGGGACTCTAACCCATGATCCGTCTATCACTGAAGATATTTTACGTCAGCACTGTGGTCAGTGCAAGCCGGATGCGGAATTTCTACCAATCAGCCATCGCTCGGATTTGAAACCTGTTCTCCTCATTGGAAAGCGAAAGCTCTATCCCCAGAGCCATTGCAAAAAATAGCGAGAATCATTGAATTTAAATATCTTGGAACAGTCAAAATTAAAAATTAAATGAATTTTGAAATTGATTACCGCTTGATATTTTCAAACAATTAATTAAAAATTAATTTTTAAACAATTAAACATTTGCGAATCCAAGATCAAACTAGGATCATTATTAATAATAAAAATAAAAACAGTATTAGAAACACAAACTAGACCAGTAGTCCTCTACGGTTGGACATTGAGTAAGCAAACTTAAAGCAGACTACTAATTTTAGAAAGTTCTACCTAAAATTTTCAGCGCAGCCTAAAAAAATCAGGCGCCAGGCGAATTATTTAAACTCATGAAATTTACAATCGATGTTAGGTAATCAGAAATTGTAAAAATCATAAAATCGAACTGGATAAGGTATCTTAGGCACTAATAAAGTCCAGAAAACAAAAACCACACTAAGATGTTAACGTTCTATAAACCAGGTGAGATATGAAAATGGGTTGACTGCCACACATAATGACTTTGAGAAAGATCTGAAAACATTCAAGGTGACGAATTAGAAACAGCAAGCATCTGAAAGACTCTGTTGGAAAGAAACTCGTTGAAATGTTCTTGGCCTGATTTGGGCTGTAGTGCCAGGTAGAAGAAGAAAACTTAATTACAAATTTTATTTCTCTGATATTGTTTAATTTTAAAAAAACTCAACTATGCGACGCGTATTATTAAAATTAGATAGAAGCATTTTTCGTTTATTTTTTTATTAGGTTATTTGTCGTTAGTTTTTCTATTAATTGATAATATTTATGTATTAATAGTGGTTAATTCGAACTATAACTGAAGAGGGAAAAAAGCGAATGAATGAGCCAGCGAATAAATTAACCTAATATTAATCAATTAATTAAAAAATTAGATTGAATCATTGAATAGAAGATGTAGTGAAAAGGTAGATTAGAAAGTTAGTGAAGAATTAAATACACGAGCTAAGATGAGTGAATCAGAGAATTAGGAAATCAGAGAAAATTCGAATAATGTAAATAGACGAGACGGTGTGTAGGCGTGTTATACCTCCTGAGACCAGAGTTTTAAATGATGGAAGAAAATGAGATTTTTACTTCGAAATACGTGACTTAAAAGAAAATATAAATACAATGAAAAAAAAAACTACATTTAATTATTTTCATAATTATTCTTTATAGCATAAAAAATAATATCTTTAATTTTTAGCATTATTTAGACATTGTAGGTGTACTTTTTAAATTTTTGTCTTGAAACAAAATTCACTATACTCAAACAATACCATATTTATAAAACTTATAACGGGCCGAAAGGTTACTAGAATCAAATTTGTCATTGTAATTAAAAATTCCAACCAGCCAGTGCAAAATAATTTATATTTTTACATTGACAATCGCTTTGAAAATCATACAAAAGAAAATCTAAAATATTATTTAATTGGTTTTATAACACCTCATTTTTTTAAAATGTCGAATCAATTTGTAACTTAAAAATCTTACGCTGCATATTTATCCCATTCCCATATTGAGCTTATCAACACCGTGATAGAATTTCGACAAACTTCTGAATATCAAATCAAATACCAAATTAATTTAAAACTTAAAAATCTTACGCTGCATATTTATCCCATTCCATATCCCATACCATATGAGCTTATCAAACAGTGATAGAAGTTCGATCAACTTCTTAATATCAAATCAAATACCAAATTAATTTAAAACTTCAAAATCTTACGTTGTATATTTATCCCATTCCCATGTTGAGCTTATCAAACACCATAATGGAAGTTCGACGAACTTCTGATTCCACATTTTTATTGGTCTCCATGACCAGGAACTCAACTTGATCTCTGTCAGTGTTGTAGAAAGCGTGAGCTATCAGTTGAGCAACCTCGTGGTGAGGCTTTCGGCTCATTTTGATTCCATCCACTTCCAAAATCACATGACCCACTCTTAGTCCACCGGCGTCAAAAGCTGCACCAGAGTTCTAAAAAAACAACCAATTAGAAACTTTTCAGTATTTTAGTATATCTCCATAGTTTTATAAGTACTATGTAATTATAGTAAGGAATCTGTCTCAATTGGGAGGAAAACACTGCCTACCCCCATGTGGTAGAGCTCTCATTAGGTTCTTACCACAGATAATCATCCACACCACCTGTTGCACACAGTTCACTAATCAAAATAAGTTCACTGATCAAAATCCAAAAATGTGAAGAAGATGAGATTGGGTGAAGAGTTATCTGAGGTAAGAACCTCATGAAAGTTTTACCTCATGGAGGAGGCTGTGTTTTTTCCGAAAGCGGCAGAACTCTCATATTTCTCCTACTATAGTTCCTTTCCACTAGACGTTTGATATCTCTTCCATTGACATGCATTTCCTTAAATTTGTCATAAAAAACAAAGATGCAATCAAATTCTTTCAAATCAGAAGTGAGTATGAGAAAAAAAAATCCAAACAAGTTTGATGGTCTGATGATCTTAATGTTTCCAACAAATCAATTTTCATTTGCCCATTGTATTTTTGCGCAATCGAACAAGTTTTGGTGTTTCATTGGCATGTTTTTCATCAGTGATTCATCTGATTTCGATAGCGTTTTTGTTCTTCTCTAGCTTTGCGAAGCCTAATATGTATACTTTCTTGACTACTGTGACAAGAATTCTAAATATATATAATACGGAACATCCTGTGAAAAGTGTAATTTTATGTAAAGTTGAAGAATTTAATAAATTTATACATATTGCAAGTGGAGTTGAAACAAAATATTCTTCAAAGAAATGTAATCGGTTGCACGTAAACTGCAGCTTTTTTTTCAAATTGTGTTTAATCCATTAAAGATTTTCTTCCTGATTTACCATACTTCACAAGTTGTTTTTAAAAAACTATTGGTATCCACATTATGATGACCTACAGTAGTACTACGAAATATTTCACGAAGATCTTATAACAATTGTTTTAAGCTTTACGGAAAGTGTTCCTTAAGAATTAGAGCTTTGAGTTTACTAAGAGGAAGAAGATATACCTGTTGAAGATGTATCTCTATACCCTCTATTAAACTGCAGTTATGGAGTTGACAACGAGCAAGATGCTTTAGCATTGAGAACTATAGCATTTTAAAAATGTTTTAGTCCCTATTACTTAGCCAGAATGTGCATGAAATGTTACTATTTTAGAATCACACTAGTACGCTCTTTTTTACTAATAGTTTTAAAAATGTAATACGCAGGATGATAATAAATAACCCCGGAACATACTACAATATTATTACTTTTTAAAGTATCACAACTCAACTTTCTCATAAAAATTTTCAATATCAAATGCAAAACTGTAAACATGCCTCATCAATTTCTGATATAGGCCGAAACTCACTTATATTTTGAACCAATCTTTGCATATGAAATTTTTGTAGAGTGCCTAAATCTTATGAGTTTTTCAGGATTGTTCTACAAACATGGGTGACATAAGTCTTGTAAGTAAGGTGGTCATTTATGTTCTGTATAAAAGAAATGACCACCTTACTTACTTCACCGACAGATCTAAAGACAGTGATGAAATATGCCTGGCACCATTCTTCACCGTTTTTAGAGCTGTGTTTTGGAACAGAATCCTGTTAGACGGTAAAAATGTTCGCGAAAGAACTTTTGTGGTCTAAGAAGCATAGTTTCTTTGAAAATGAATTCTAGGTAAGCTTCAATAAAAACATTCTATTTCAAGTTTGTCTAAGTCATTTCTTTATTTTGAACAACAGTGCAGTTATTCAATTAAGCTGCTATAGTATTTTTTTTTTGGCTTGTCTCATTATTATGGATTCTTGTGAAACATCAAGAAATATCAGATAATCCTATAAAAAACATGATATATATTGTACAGGGTAGTCTATTTTGAACGCTAATAAAAAAGAACACAGTTTGAGATAAAAATGGGCAGCTTGCTGCATTGCTATTAGAAAACCAATAAATTTTGAAAAAAAGAACATAGTGTTAAAAACAGTTTTCAATTTCACTACAACGTGGCGCTGGTAGCTAAAACCTGAGTAACAATATTGTTAATATAGCTGCCCTTTGAAGCAATAATATGCTTCAAAGTCAGTTTTTACGTGCATTACAAACGTACAACGTGCATTGCAATGCCAGCAAGAGTTTGAGGCTTTGTTGAAATTTTAATATTCGAAATATTAGTCTTTCTATAGAATAAACCATGTTTGCACAGCAAACTTTAGCATGAACGTACTCAATGAGACTTCAATGAAAATTAGTAGACGTTCTGTCTGTATTCCTACAGCGGATTGGAATACAGACAGAAAGTTGAGAGGTGGCGAACCTAGTGTCGAAATTTGGAACTGTTTTTAACGCTACGTATTTTTCGAAATATATTGCTTTTCTATAGTTTGTCTAAAGTTAACTCTCATAGCCACTCGTCTGAACCAGTGGCGGTGACTATGGTAACGAGGTATAACTATTTCAAGTAGGGGTATGGGGTCATTGTTTAGGACAGGTGTGAGAAAGGGAATCTTTTTCTTCGGTCTATTGTGTTAGCCCAGAGTGAAGAAAAGCTACCCTCCCTTAAATGAGCCATTCTTGTTTCCATAGCAACAGACGGTCTTAGACTTTGTGGAGGGGGGGGGAGTTCTTACCGTAGACAAACTGTAATAACAATGCAATGAGCGGCTTGATGTGTTTTTGACGGTGTTTTTTTTCTTCTTTTTTTAATTTGCGTCCAAAATGGGTCACTCATTTGGTGAACACCCTGTATATATGCTTACGTGAATACTGATTATTCTGGGTAAAGGTTGTGTCGTATCTACGCCGCCTTCAATAGCGATCCCCAAAAGTGGACGAGTTTTCTTGACGATGATTCGAAACTTTCCATCTCCCTCTGGAATCGTTCGATGACCCTGGAAAAAAAAACGGAATAAAATTACTATTATGATGGCTAATCCGCAATAGCTCTTAAATGTGTTTTTCGAAGATCTTGTATTAAGAGTAATAAAAAAACTACATTTTAAACGATATAAACACGAAGTAAAGACCTAACCATCTTTCTTTATATTATAACCGGCGATCCAATTCTGACTTCACGACTACTTTTGGTAATGGATCTGTGGTGAACCACCTTCTCACCAGATGGCGATGAACTCTGCTCGCCAAGTGGCAGTGCAAAAAATTTCCCTCAACCTTTTTATAAGATGGCAACATCTTTGGTGTTCAAACTTTAGTTTCCCGAATCTGGCAGCAGCTGAATATAAACATTCATTCGGGCTTGCTGACCGGTGAACATTCACCTCTTTTAAAAATGCTGCTGTCGTTAATCATGTTTGTATTTTTACATTGTAACTTAATATGATTTTTTCTTTTTTTAATTATTATTAAACTGTTGTGGTTATTAATTTTATTGAATCAATTTATTTAATATTATTTAATCTAATCACCACAGATCGTTAAAAGTTGTTTTTTTAAAATTTTATTTGTAAATTAAGTGGGAGTAAAGATTAGGAATCTATATGATGGGGGCAGAGGGGATAAAGCACTCGCCTCCCAAAAGTGTGCCCAAGTTCGAATCCCAGCTGCGGCTGGATGACAAATTCTGCTCTCGGATCACACCTAGCATAGTGCTGATATAAAATGTTCTAAGTGATAGAAGGATCATGGGTTAGAGTCCCCTTGCTATTGGTAAAACAGTTGGAGGTTTTCGGGGTTTCCCTCTCCATGTAACGCAAATGCATTTTTGTTCCATCAAAAAGTCCTCCATGAAGGCTAGTTTGTGCCAATGCTTGATTAAAAAGTTCCCCTGTCTTCTGGGTTGGGTTCAAAATTACAAGGATACGGAGTTGAAATATAGGTGAAAACTCATTATAAGGTCGGCAGTTCTACGTCGGTTATTAAATATTAATAAAATAGTTGTACATAAGAGCTTGGACTCTCTAAAGAAATCACTTCAGAGGGAATGAGATGAGATCTTGCGGCCCATTACTGAAAATTTCAATAAACATTTGCTGCTCTGCATCGCCGCAGAAGCCAGTTAAATTTATTATAAAAATATGAAACCAATTAAATTTATTAATTGGCAAAACCCTACTCTTATTATTATTTCCTTTATTTTTCTATTTTATTTATGTTTAATTAAATTAGATTAAAAATCGTTTGTCTATATTTTTTTTTCCTGCCTAACCCTGTATAATGATACGCTCCGATATTCTCAATAATTGTGATCCTTTAAATGTTTTTGAATTCAATTAAGATTCGGTGAAAAGTTCAAACGTATTATTTAAATTAAAAACTTAACGAAATTCAAGGAGCAGCATTTTTGAAGTTAAAAAGGAAAGTAACTTTTATAAACTTTATGGAGAACAATAAATGAAATGATTTATTAACATTGAATTTTGATAGTTTTATTTAGTTTTATTTCCAGTAGTCGTTATATATTTTGGTAATAGTGATTTTTATTTTTAATTTTACAGTTATTTTTTTACTTCACTCCAGTGAAGTTTGGAATAATTAGCATAGTTTTTTTAAGACATTATTTTTTTTTAAAGTGATTTTAATAAGAGAAATGATTTTAATCAGATTTAAATAGATTTAACTGAATAAATATGAAAGCAATATTATTAATTATTGGCAACACCACTGGGAAAATTTATAATTAATCAATACATTAATAGTATAATGCACAACATCAAAACTTTAACAATCTAAATTTAGATCTCAGTTTAAGCTTGAAAAATTTTTGAAGTGCAGAGTATTACAAATTTTAATTTAGAGCATTAAGTTTTATATTTTATTAATTACATGTTGAAATTTATGATATTTTGAATAATTTATTTTCCTTGTTTTCTTACGAAGCAAGAAAATATGATCGTGTTACAGCGAAATTCAATTTAAAAACTACAGAAAATATTATTAAAAATTATTTAATTATTTTGATCTAAAATATAAAACTCTAAATAAATAATCTTCAATTTGATTGTCGTGTCAAGGTAAGTTATTAAATTGATGATGAGACCTCACACACTATTATTTATTCAAAATTATTGGTTGAAAATTCATAATTTTCTTTAAAAAATTTTGCATCTCAGTTTCAAAATAAAATTTCAAAAATATTACAACTAAAAAAGTGTTTAATTTTTAATTATTAAATTTATCACACAATTTTTACTAATTTTAACAAAGAGACTTCATATTTAATGGTTTTTAATAGTTTATGCAGACAAAAAGATAGAAGATAAAAAGATGAAAAATTATTGAGATGAGATTATTGAAGATAAAAAGATGAAAAAATTCTGAATTAATTTACCACATTAATAAACGAAAATTTCATAGGATATTTCAAATAGTGATTCGCGAAATATTGTTATATTTTCTTATTGGATGATAGATGGCAGCACCAGCTACTCACAGGCAACCTAACAGAAGCACTTCTGTGTTGATGCATTCTCTCCATTTGTTGCTGTTTCTTTCTCGCTTGTATAGCATGGGGATCAGGCAGTGATCTGTGTCTTCTAACAGTGATGTGGGGTACTTGAAGATGCTGTTGGGTGCCGGGTGAGAGAGGGATGTGTACAGGACTTAATCTTGGAGATCGTGGTCTTGGAGAGCTGTGACGTTGGGTTAAGGCAATAGCTTCCAGACGAGATAACACGGCTCTGGCAGCATCCTGTAATAAAAATTAATTAATAAATCAGAAAAATAAATTAATAATCTGGGTTCAAAAAAGTGTTTTTTGTCTAGATAACTAAGGAAGTTAATTCAAGAAAAAAGACAAAGAGAAAAATATGAAGTAAAATTTTAATTAAAATTCACAATTAAAAAATTTTTATCCTACACTATAAAAAAAATTTATTTCAGGACCAAAACACGATACTAAGTTACTGAAAGCATATTAAGGTGCGAAATTGTTCCACGTCAAGGTTTAAGATGAAACAAAGTTTCGTATAATCATGTTTCAGAAGTTCTGTAAATTGGTTCAATTTGGCACTATATTAAGTTTGCAGTATATTAGTTCATTCTTATGGTTCAATAAGCCCCATAATTTTTAACAGTGTGGTAATGTTACACTTTGCAACGATGGAATAAAATGATTACATAAATTACAAAAAAAATTTGAATAATATAGTTAAAATATTTATTAATAATAATTTTTTCACCACATTTACTTTAGCATAACGCTTAACATGCTATCGAAATGTTAATTTATTATAACGTTAACAGTTTCTAAACGTCATTACAAATTATAACAAATTACAAGAACTTAATTATGTTGGAATTATAAGTAGCCACGAGCTCTGTATCGGAGTAACCTTTATAGTATTAAACCTGCTTTATTTTTTTTTAAAAATCAAATTTAGGCCGATAATATTAATGAGAAGCTTTTCAAAAAAAATTTTTTTTGGTTACAAATTCGTGTTTTTAGAAAATGGGTGAGGCAGTTATTTAAGTTTTTAACTGTCCTCTCTATTAGCTTTATTTATTTCTTTGTTGTTTCATTGAAATAACGTAAGTGTCAGCGAAGTTTAGCAATCTCAGTCTAATATCAATACTAATAAAAACAGAGTCTGATTATTATAATTATTGGATCATGTTTTATCGTTTGCGTTTATTACTATGATAGTTTACGACTCTAATACTAATAGTTATCTAAAACAATAACAATTAGCATTAGTTGAGTCGTATATGATTTTATTAGTAGTAATATTAGTTAGGTAGTATAAAATGGTTATATGTATTGATGTTCACTAGATCTTTCTAATTGTAATATTAATAAAAATAATTGTATTTTAATACGTTCCAGTTATATATATATATA